ACCCTCGTCCTCTGCAAGAGCAGCTAGTGCTCTTAACCACTGAGCCAGCTCTCCAGCCCCATTTATTTATGTATTTGTTTGTTTATTTATTTTATTTATTTATTTTTGGTCTTTTTGAGACAGAGTCTCCCTGTAGCCCCAGCTGGCCTGGAACTTGCTATGTAGATCAGGCTGGCTTCGAACTCACAGAGATCCGCCTGCCTCTTGCCTCTGGAGTGCTGAGATTAAGGGGGAGTGTCACCATGCCCAGCTATCACAGTTGTTTCTTGGTATTCAAAATGGATTTATTGAAGGAACTGCCTCCCCCATGCCAAAATCCACAGATGGATTTATAAAGACCCTCATATAAAATGATATAGGATGCTGGGGTGGTGTTGTGTGCCTTAATCCCAGCACTCAGGAAGCAGAGGCAGGTGGATCTCTGTGAGTTCAAGGCCAGCCTGGTCTACATAGTGAGTTCCAGGCCAGCTGGGGCTACAGGGAGACACTGTCTCAAAAAGACATATATATATCTGCATAGAACCTACACACACACTTGTATACTTTAAATCATCTCTAGATTACTTATGTCCACCAATACTATGCAAATTCTATGGAAATAGTTATTATTCTATATTGCTCAGGGAGCAATGAAAAGAAATTGAGAAGTCTGTACCTATTTGTGCATACTCTGCCACCCCTCCACAGTATTTTCAATGTGTGGTTGGTTGAATGCAACGATGCAGAATTCAGGAGTATAGAGGACCAACTGTTTTTTTTTTCTAATAACTAATTATTTTAATTATGTTTAAGGTAAAAATGATGGAAAGTATGGATGTATGTAAAAATGTATCACCACAGTACTTATAATCTCACCATCCAGGCACAGCTTGCCAGGCTGACATCCTTCTCATCGTTTAAAAATGTATCACCACAGTACTTATAATCTCACCATCCAGGCACAGCTTGCCTGGATGTAGTGCCTTGGAAAAAAATGGTTGAGAGGGGGCTGGGGAGGTGGCTCAGGGGTTAAGAGCACTGGCTGCTCTTGCAAAGGACCCGGATTCAATTCCCAGCACCACATGATGGCTAACAACCACCCATAACTCCAATTCCAGGGGTATTTGACATCCTCTGACCTCTGTGGGCATTGTATGACAGCAGTACACTTATGCTAAGATGTCTCTATATCAATGCTGGGACTCCTGAATGCCACGCCCATCACCCATCCCCCTTTCCGCTTCCCCTCATACCTCCTGGCTGACTCAGTGCCCGGTGGATGAAGTCTGCAGCTGTCTGGAAGTGGATGCTCATGTCAAAGGCTGGAGAGTCATGGGCCTCAACACCCAGGTAGCGGATGCCCAGTCCCTCATAGGCCTCAGGGGTGCCTCGCCACCTGCTGTGTGAGGCGTTGAGGACGTGGGTGATGCCCAGGCGACGAAGCTCACGGCGGTTGTTGGCCATGTCCCTGTGTTGAGTACAGGTTAGAAGTAAGGTAAGGAAGCCAGGGTGCCAGGAAGTTTTTGCACATGTGCTGTGGTCACACCCCCACTGTGTTTACTATTACCCTAGAGGAAAGGAAGAGTGACTTGGGGGTCTCATTCTATGAGCAGTGTTTGAGAGGACCAGAAACGTTTTGGCTGGAGAAGACAAAATGTCTGTCATCAAATACCAAGAGTGCTCTGAGGAAGTGTCATTTTCCTTGGTCTGTAGGGCTCTAAAGGGCCAAAGGAAGATCAAAGGATTCAAGACACAGAAAGCCAGTTTCAATTTTATGTGAAGAAGTTGGTGCTAAAAGAGGAATTTAGCTGAAGAAAGGTTAGAGTGATTTTTCTGTTGCCTGTGCTTTCAAGCAACAAGAAGTGCTCAGTGGATAGACCTGAGTATTGGGAAGGGACGTGCGCATTAGGAGAGTTGTTAGATCTGCTCACATATCACGTCCCAGCTAGGGCCAGGGATGTAGTTTCATGGTAGGGTGTGTGCTAAGCTTGTACAGTACTCTGGATTCAGTCCCCAGAATCAACGAGTGAATGAATGAATAAATAAATAAGCCCCTGATGATCTTGAGATTATATGGACCTGACACTTGTTGCCTAAACCTCCATTGCTTTATATTCTCTCCTAGGCTCACGGAATTCTCTTCTGTTGTTAGTTACTCTAGGGTTCTTGTTTACTCTGATTTATACTCACTTCCAGGCATTCATCTGGCCCCATACCCTAGCAGCTTAGTGGTATACTCCCCGCAGGCAAAATGGTCAGACCCTAGGATAGACACGACATCCAGTGAAAATCTCCTGAATAGAAAGGGCACTGAACTGGATCCAGAAACTCCCGGCTCTGCTCTTTCCAACCTCTGTGACCTTGGGCCAATCACAACTTCTCTGTTTCCTTTTACTCATCTGTAACCCAGGGAGAGTGATACCTACCTCACACAAGGTTGCTGTGAAGATTAAGTCTGCAAACGCACACTAAAAACTCCTCACATATGTTAAAGTCCTTGAGGGACACATGGAGGGATGCACTCCCTTTGATGCCCCCCTGCCCCATCACCTTCAACTTGGAGCTTCGCTGCACGCCCTGTGGCTGCTTTGCTTGGTTTCCTTTTCAGATTACCACCTACTGTTTCTGCCCCCAGTGACTGCCTTACCCCAGAGCCATGGCACAACAGCTGAAAGGTCAGAACAATGTGCCTGGTATGTATCGTTGGCACTCCATATGAAATCTTCACTAAACTAATAACACTATTACTTGAACAGATTGAACAGAGTTTCTCTGTCCCAGAGTTGGGTATTTTTAACAGTCCCTCCACCACATCCCCCAGACCCTCCAGCTTCTACTTTCTGTCCATGTGCCCCCAACCCTCCAGTCCTCAACTTGGAACCAACAATTCAAATCAGTGCCTGTCTGCTACCTTTCTCCTGGTATGTATGTACACACTCAGGCATGGTCCCTGTCCACCCAATACATACTGGTCTCCGAGGTAGAGGCCTGGCCAGACCTCATCCGCATGGTTACAGGCTGTCTTGCCTGTGTAGAGGAGCCGCTCCAACTCAAAGACATTGAGGAAGGGATGATGAACCGTAGGCATCTCTTCCAGGCTCCCTCTAGTGCGAACAGGAGACCTTGAGCTGCTCCGGGAAAAGCGGGCCATAAAAGTCATGGAGGCCCAGAGCCAGTTCCCGGGGCACATCTTTGAGGTGGCAGGAACTGTGGCAGTTGTGCAGCGGCTTCAGTGACAATGAAGTCAGTTACCAGGTCACTGTTGCTGGAGACAGAAGGGGTGTCAGGCACACCTGGGTGAGTCCAGAGCAGCTGACTGCGTTCCTGCCCACCTGAAAGCAGGTCCTAAGGGAAGGAAGGGAAGGCTAGCCCAGGGCTTTCAGGATTTCCTCTCTCAAACCTCTGCAGCTCCCTAGGATGAGCTCTTTGGCTCTGCTACACAAAGAGGTGGGAGTCACATGTCCTTGTTTACGGGAAGAGAGGGAGCTGCCTGGCCTCGGAGTTTCTCCTTAGTCACCCTGCCCCCACCACTAACACACATACAGAAACACGCAGGGAGGGATACACACTGGGCACTTTGGGTGCTCATACACATTGCTGGGACTCTTGCCAACCTGAATCTGGGTCTCATCTGCCTTGGTTATAGGCAGGGAGTCTAGGGAGCTGGAATGGGGAATGGAGGTGGCTTTGGAGTCATCCAGAGAGAATTATCAGGAAGACAACAGCAGCTGGGACCATTACATATGCCAGATATGCCTCCTGGGTGCCAGAGAGATGAAGTACCTTAACCCTTGCCGTCTCTGCATGTCTCAAAGATAAGCTTGTCATGGGAAGTATATGGAGTGGGAGCGTGTGAGTGGGAGGACAACAAAAAGAGGAAGAGTGAGTTTGGGCAAATACTTGCTGAATGTGAGAGCTAATGGAAGAAAGCGCCAGTCTCTGCACAGAAGCAGGGAAGCACTTTCTTTGACTAAACCTCATCCCTAAGGAGAGAACTGTGAGTCAAAGCAGGTTGGAGCTTCGTGCCTATCTCTGTCTGATGGGGGGAGAAGCAAGAGGAGAAAGAAGAAGGAGTGAGGGATCCTGCTGGCCCAGGGTCTCCCAGACTCAGAATTGCCATCTTTACTGCTGTTGCAATCTACCAACCCTACACAGCAGGTGTAACAGGTCAGGGGGAGGGGGCTGCAGTGTCTCAGAGTACCTATAGGCAACAGGCCCTAGGGAAAAGTGGGCTCCAGCTTTGAGCATCACAGCTTAGCAGGGCCTGCCTTTGAGGCTTGCTCTAGTCCTTTAAGCAGGCAGGCAATACCCTCCTCGAAGTCCCCACAGTCTTGACTATTTGGTTATTTGGAAGGGTGGGCTAAGCTGTAGAATCTCCTCCTATTCCCCCTTCCCTTCCACTTGCCTTAAAGACCCTAACTGAATGTCCAGCTTAGTAAGTGGCCATCTTGGTCCATGGCCACACAGTGAATCTCATCCCAGACTCTCAGCCCAACTCTCCCTTCTCCCTGGGTCAGGAGACACCAAGCTCTCAGCAGACACCACAAACAAGGGGATTGGGATCCGGACCAGAGAAAGAGGATTCCACATTCAGGTGTTCAGGGACAGTCAGAACTCAGAAAGCCAGTACTACAGTCGACACCATGGAGACCACCACCACCATTACCACCACCACCACCACCACCATCATCACCATCACCATCCCTATCGCCTACCTTTCCTCCTGGGACCTAAAGCCCCATCCTTTTCCCCAACAGAATAGACTCTGCTGTCTAGGTGGTGATGAAAGACAAGAGGAGGCTGGAAGGGGAGCTGGGGTAGGGGGCTGCTGTCCTGGGGGACTGATCCTCCTGGAGTGGAGGACCCCCACTGGGTCCTCGGGTACTCCCCTGGGCCTTCTCCAGTCCCATCAACCGTCTGCCAGAGGCCCTGGCCGCTGCCCCCCTCCCTCCGTCTGCTGTCGCGCTAACAGGTTCCCGGCTTTTGGCTCAGCCCTGTGCCAACCCAGACAGAACGGCGCGGAGGGGGGAGCGCGGCGGCTCGGCCCCGGCCCCTGCCCGGCCCCAGCCCCTGCCCAGCCCCTGCCCGGCCCGGGTACGCTTCTACCTCCCGGCTGGCGAGGGTGTCAGATCCCGCGGCCTGCGGGCGCCCGCAACCCGGCGCCCATGGCCTTGGCTCCCGCGCCGTCCCCGCTGCCGCCGCGCCGCAGCCCTGCGCGCTGGAGGATCGCAGCTATTTTTAAGCCATGACACGCACGTCGAAGCAGGTCCTATGTGTGTGCGTGCTGGTGACACCCGGGGACACGGTCTCACACCCAGCCCTGCGTGGCCAGCCCCTGTTTACAGACCCGCGCAACCCAGCAGCACCGCCTAGCCTCGCGTGCGCGCCCGGAGCCGCCGCCGGCCAATTGCAAAGCTCTGTGCCCAGCGCTCAAGCAAGCAAGCCTTCCTGGGCAGAACTAATGAATTGCAGACAGGGTCCTCTGCACGCATTTGAACACTCGTTTTCAAGAACAACTCTCAGCCACCCTTACTATTAATAGCACTTTCCCTATGTCGTTAGCTTCACCTATCTTAGCATGCTTTATCCTTGCCACAGTTTTTTTGGGGCAGGCATTGGCATTTCAGGAAGGAGACAGAGGCACAGAGAGGCAGAGTCAGGTCACCCAGCTAGGGCTTCGTAGAGTTGAGCTTCAGACAATGGCCATATGGCTCTGAAGTTCATGGTTTCACTAGTTCTGGTCTGTGTTTTCCACATACGGAAAATGCACTTTAGGGTTCATCCAGGGAGCCATTTCGACATGCACAGCACGTAGTGGACTCGACTTACTGGATTCCACTCACCCCAGACTAACGGATCTCCTCTTCTTCACTTACTGCTGTCTTGTAATGATACTTAGCATCAGCTGCTTCTCTATGGTCAGCACCTTGTAAGCACTAAGACTGTAGTACCCTGAGGCCTGGAGGGCGTAGGTTCCCGAGAGCCTCCCCCCACTGCATGAAGGGAGGTGGTTTGAGGAGTCAGAATGATCAGAAGCTGCTGTAAGCAGACAGAGGTCCAGAAGAAAGGCAGGACGCAGGTCAGCAGAGACAGAGGCAGTTACGGAATGAAGACCGGATCAACTGTACCAAGGTCAGGGACTGGGCTCCGAGTGTCCCCAGCACTGGGTGTAGGTGAGGCTGTGGTATGTGGGCCAGAGGAAGCACGGGCCAAAGTGCCCAAACGCCCAGGTCAGCTCTGGCAACAAACATGCACCCCCCAAAACGCCCCCTCCCCCAAATCAATTTACCTCCTGGCTTTTCTTCCCAGAGAACAGGCTTCCATTCCCTTCACCTCGCCTTCTGCCTTCTGGGTGTGGCATATTTTACATAGAGATGACATCATCACTTTAGGAATAATTGGCCTGGGAAATGTGAGATTTTTAATAGCAATTTAGAAAAGCCCTTCAATGGTTATCACAAAACAGTGAAAAGCACATAATTTGGGAGACAGAGGCAAGAAGATCATGAATTCAAGGCTAGCCTCAATTATATCATGATTTTTGAGGTCAGCCTGGCTTATGAGACCTTTCCTTAAAGAGAAACCAACAACAAGAGAGAGAGAGAGAGGAGAGATAGAGAGAGAGAGAGAGAGAGAGAGAGAGAGAGAGAGAGAGAGAAAGAAAGAAAAAGAAAAACCAATAATGTAGGGACGTATCTTTAGTGCTTGCTTAGGATATGTATGGTCCTAGTGTTCTCAAGGTATAGGCAGGGAGCTCCAGGGTAGAAGTTGAGAGGATGTGGGTAAAATTGTTCTCACTTTTGTTGTTGTTGTTTGTTTGATGTAGGGTCTTGCTTTGTAGCTCATGCTACCCTTGAACCTGAAAGCCCCCCTCCCACCATGTCATCCTCTCAAATGCTGGGATGACAGGCATATGCCACCATGCCTGTCTCTCTGACTTCAGTTTTTTGTTTTGTTTTGTTTTTATGAAACTTCTGTTTGGAGGCTGGAGAGATGGCTCAGCAGTTAAGAACACTGACTGCTCTTGCAGAGGACCAGGGTTTGGTTCTCAGCACCACTAACAACCATCCATAACTCCAGTTCCAGGGGATCTGATGCCCTCTTGTGTCCGCCATCGGCACTGCACAACATGAGGGCACTCATACATGCAGGGACAACACTCATACACACATAAAATAAAAGTAAATAAATAAATCAAAAATTCAAAAAGAACTTTTGTTTTAAACTTACATTGCATTTTGCCTCTACATATGTTTTAAAACACATCGTGGATAATTTTGGGAAGCTCTCCTTGAAAAGATTTCCATGAAGACGATTTTCATGAGTCAACCCATAGCCCAGATGGTTTCACGGTGTTCCTTCTAAGTAGGTTTGTGGTGCATGAGCCAACACCACGCTATACAAATGAAGAGGAAGGACGATGGAGGGAAAATTAGCAGGCAAAGATAATGGAGACGGTAGAATGGGAAAGGAGGGCAGGGGGGACAATTAGAATGATCATCTGTGATCCTTGGGCTTCACAAGCATCAACTCATTTAGCCCCACCCACATTTTACATGGGTATAATCAGTGAATTCATGAGGAGACTGGCATTTAGCATGTTAGGCAATGTTCTCACAGCTAGATGGTGTCAGATCACAGGTTCCAACCAAGGACTGTCTTACTTGAAACCTCACTCTTTCAAGACCAGGCAGCTTTTCTGGAGCAGCTTTTATGCGGTCTTTTCTTGGGTTCATATAGACCTAGAATCAGTGTTTGTTTTCCATACTTAAATCCCCACTCTTCATAGTGGGCAGCATGAATGGGCATACCAGGGTAAGCAGAACAGAGGTGAAAGTGAGACTGGAAGAGGGGTGAGGGGTGGGGCTCAGGGGAAAAGCACTGGCCTAGCAGGAAGGAAGGGCCCTGGGCTAAGATCCTCCATGCGTGCCAGGAGTGGTGGCACACACATGTAAGGTGGAGGCAGGAAGGTCAGGAGGTCATCATCCTCAGCTACATAGTGAGTTTGATACCAGCCTGGGACCCCACCTAAACAAATCCCCAGTACTGGAATAAATAAATAAATAAATAAATAAATAAATAAATAAATAAAATACAACTAATAAGGAACAGATTTTTAAAAGATTCTCAAAACAAATGATCCCCCTGCCCACATAATTAAATATCATATGGAGAGGAAGAAGTTGAATAAGAGTAGAATTTAAACACACACACAAACACACAAGAATAGAAGATGATCAAATGGTGTTGAATAGTAATTATAACTGCAATCATTTGAATGTATATGGATCTTAGCATACATTAGTTACTTGATATCTTAAATGACATTCATTCCATTTTACAGTTAAGGAAACAAGTTTAGGGTGGTCTTAAATCCACCTGACAGACAAAGGCTATAAACTGAGTGGAATTTGAGTATGAATTTAATAAACCCAGAACTATTTTAAACCATAGTCTGTCAGAAACCACTAGTCTAAGAGGGAAACAGGTAGTCAAATGTATCACGCTGTATTGTGTGCCTTGCTTTTAGTAAACGATGCAAATTTCTCACAAGAACTTGAAGGTCTTTCTCCCAGGAATAGTTGACTAGCATCAGGTATAGTCCCTTAGGGGCATGGCTCCCCAGTGGTGGGCTCTGTGGAAGCCAGGAGCATCTTCAGAATCCTTCCAAGAGGCTTCTTCCCAGTCATACCCTAAGCACGACCTGAAGTCCTTCACATATTTAAAGCAGTGCTTCCAACTAAAAAAATCAAGCAAGAGAAGGTTGATCCTTGTGACTTGACCTAGGACGAGGGCAGAAGGTTTCCATGTTTTCTGATGAGTCTGTACATGAGGTCCCTTCAGCAGTAAACAGAGCTCTCTTCTGGCTTCTGCTGCCTTTGAACTGTGGAGAAGGCCCTTTGTTCCAGCAGAGTGAAAATCTGGATTTGATTAATTTCCTTCTTTCTTTTTGTCTATTTCCGCACTGATCCTTACTGCGCTGAGTGTAGTGGCATATGCCTAAAATCCCAGCACTCGGGAGGCAGAAGCAGGAGGATATCTGTGACTTCAAGGCTAGCCTGGTCTACATAGCAAGTTCCAGACATGCTGGGGCTACAGAGAGACCCTGTCTCAAAGAGGAAAATGCCTTACCACTTTCTAAGGATGTTAACTTCCTAAGGATCACACATTAATGCAAGGATCAGTTTTCCTGTTAGCATGACTTTGAAGAAGAGACTTCCTTAGTGGCTTGATATGTGGCCAGTTTTAAAAAACGAGTCATACATGCTATAGACTTACCCCAAGAGGCCTGAGGATAGTAGTCAATTATTATTATTATTATTATTATTAGGTCTTTTTTGAGACAGGGTCTCCCTGTGGCTCCAGCTGACCTGTAGACCTGTAGACCAGGCTGGTCTCAAACTCAGAGAGATCTGCCTGCCTTTGCCTCCCGAGTGCTGAGACTAAAGGCGTGCACCACCATGCCTGACCTTTATTATTTTTATTTTATGTGTATGAGTGTATTGCCAGCATGTAGGTAGGTGCACCCATGTTGTGCAATGTCTGAGAAGATCAGAGGATCCCCTGGAACTAGAATTCAGGACAGTTGTTAGCTGCCACGTGGGTGCTGAGAATTGAACCCAGGTCTTCTGCAGGAGCAGCCAGTGCTCTTAACCGCTGAGCCATCTCTCCAGCCTATGTTTTGGGACTTTTATCATATCTCCCTTCTATATAAGATTTCAAAACTTTCTGAATCTGTCTATTGTTTGGGACAGCACCAAGCTATGTTATTAGGTATGTGAAGTTCACAGATGCTATTTGTTATAGAAAGAAATTTTTGGTTAACAAGCATTCTGAATATTTTTTGCTTTAAATTCTTTCTCCTGTTGTTGTTGGTTTCCTATTAATTTTTTATTGAATTTTTGCAATTATCATATAATATTTTGATCATATTTAGATCCCCTTCTATATCTGCACCCCTACCTTAATAGCCCCCCAAATTCGAGTCAGGTTTGTGTCCCCAAATGCCCTTCAGTGTGGGGTGTGGCTCCATCCCTGGAGCCTGGTCAACCTACCAAGTCTCACCCTTACGTAAGACTGAACCTCCCCCTCCCAGCAGGCATCAGTTGCTGATAGTTCTTCAGGTAGAGTTGGGGTTTCTTACCCACCTCCCTATGTCAATGCTGGGATTTTCTCTGGATTGAGTTTACATGGGACTTGTGCACGCTGTCACTATTGCTGTGAATTCATGTGAGTAACTGACCAGCTGTCTGGAAAACTGTTTCCTTGTGATCATTCACCACCTCTGACTTACAATCTTTCTGCCCCCTCTTCCAAAATGATCCCTGGGACAACTTGTCTGCAGCCTCTTGTTCTCCAGATGTTGGCCAGTGGTCATTTTCTGTGT